GTGACGACGACGACAACGGATGACGGCTCGTGCGTCGAGGCTTCAATGGGCGGGGCCATGCGGCCTTGGACTGAGCGAAACGCGAAGCGCAGCGTCATCAAGGCGACCAGCAAGAGCGGCGTCGTGCACACAAGGAGGAGCGAGTCCAAAAGCGAGGTATGGGCGACACTCCAGCCCCACGCGCCAAAGTGAAAACTGAGCGAGAGGCCAATGATGCAAAGCAGCGGCAGCGACGCCTTGTAGCGCGCCCAAAACGCAGCATCGAGCGCCTTGTCGGTCTTGAGCTCATACACAAGGCCAAAGAACTGCAGAAAGGCCGTGAGGAGGAGGCGCCAGCACGCTTGCATGAAGGGCGGCGTCTCGGTGAGGAGCGCGAACCAAATGCCACCGGACGACATGGCGAGGACGGAGATGATGAGGATGAGGTACGACCAGAGCGGCGGCGACGCCTTGCCAATGAACGACGCCGTGTCGGTCACGGACGACCGCGGGCTCTCGACACTGCTGACCATGGTGGCGCGACTTGAGTTATGACACCAATGGAATGTGGATCGGTGGACACGGCGTTTGAAGTTACGTCGACGACAGAGTTGGCACCGACTTGAGCAAACTGTCGCAGCCGCGGCAAAAGCGCACCGGTGTCAACAGCTGTTGGGTGCGTGTTTATGCTAACCGCCACCGATCTTTGTCGTTGGTGGACACCCTGCCCCTGAGAAGAGCAGCACGGAGGTGTGTCAATTTTGGAGAGCTGTAGATCGAGTATAAAATTTTCTGGCATGCGTTATGCATAGGGTTCAGGACCTGCATTTATGGGTAAGCACGTATTACTACTAGGAGCCAACCGGCGACGAACCTTCGATATCTATAATACAGTTTTGGCCACATTCGCTTGACTTTTGTCATGAAAGGTACGGTCAGGGCACTTGTCGACACGAGGCCACGAAAGTAAATCAGACATACAAAGCGAGACCCTTGTCTTGGTTCTTGGCATGCTTGCAGAGAACTGTTGCACTGCAAGCACCACATCAGAGACGACCCTCCAGTGCAGCGTGATCCAAAATAGGTGCGTCTTTCCGAGATTTGCAAACGCGGTCTCCCAACGAAGGGTACGGAAGGGTGGAAACACGTGGCGGTAGTAAATCACACACGATTCTCAAGCCGAAGATCCGTGCGTGATTGGTATTACCGCCACGGGTTTCCACCCTTCCGTACCCTTCGTGCGGAGACCGCGTTTGCGAATCTCTGAAAGACGCACCTATTTTGGATCACCCTGCAGGTCGTCTATGGTGACAGCATCTGTTCTTTTGAGCATTTACCGGTAGGCCACTTCAAGTCGTAACCATTGGACGTCCTCAGCGTACCGCATCAAGAGCACTGGTCCCCCTCTCTCTCCGTGCACCAGAGCACGACGACTTGAGCCTATTCTGTACTCTTTGGGTCGGTAGCTTCACAACGATTGATAGAGACGAGATCCGCGACCGAGCGTTCTATTCCGCTCACGGCGTTGGAGCTGCCACGTTTGTTCTGGCGTTTTTATTGGCCCGTGAGCAATTATTCGGCCAATCAAAATCAAAGACAGGCATGCAAGATCGCGGTCAAGGCCGAAGGGCATCTCGCCGCACTACGTCATGATCGCTACACGCTCGTGGACGAGGCTCACACAATGACGCGAAGCCTTTGCACTCTGCAGATTTCCATCTCTTAAGTTTCAAGACAGATCCAACACAGTACTCGAAGCGACGCTTCCTGCGCAGCAGTACTCTTCTACAGCAATTAGAGTATCTCCTACGCGCCACCGCTCTCTCTAACTGCGTTATAACGGACCTTTCTCATATTTTAGCGGTGTGCTAAACGGTGTGCTCAATGGGATTTGCATCTAGAGCTATCGCTATCGCTACGGATTGGCTGACAGCGCGCACCAGGCCGCTTAGAGCGGGAGTGAAAAACGCAGCGCACGGAAGAGAACGCTGGGCGCATGAACGAGAGCAGCGAAGGTCGCTCAGAGGAGCGTGGCTGAGAGAGTGAGGACTGGAAGAGCAGGCAGGAGAAGCGCGGGCGCCGGGAGGGGCAAGGAGTGCTGGCGCTGCCGATGGACGACGAC